CAGACAAACCAACAGTTGTAATAACATTGCAACTGCATGACATTAGTTTAAAAAAAATAGTTTTCTGTAATAACAGTTATATGGTATTGATCCTGTGCCTGTCCATGTAAGCAATTACAAGGCATACACTGGAGTTCTCTGCCAGAGAATCCAAGAGGAACGACATCAATAGACTATTGAGACACAGCCATTGATTGGCATCACCTCCAGAACATTCTTTTGAGGTCAGATCCTCTGCATAGGCAGAGACCTCACCAAGAGCTAAACAAGTGTAAGGTTAAATTATTATAGTCACATGTATGGGTTTAACTTGTTTTATTTACTCACCTGTATTGAGCAGTCAGAATTTTAAGCTGTAAGTTAATTTTTCACTATAAGTTTATTTTATTAAACGAATCAGCATGTATATATGGGTTTTCTCCAGTATGAGTTTGATAAGGTGCCTTGACATATGGAAGGGATTCAGAATTTTGCCCATATGACAGTTAAAAACTTAAACCTCGGGCATTACCTAGGCAGTTCGAAAAAAAACACTAGCAAGAATGCAAGTTACTGTCCCTCAGCTGCAGTTCCCAGGTTCCCTCCGCACAACCAACATTACATGTTATTCAAAATCACAATAGGTATTCCTGCCAAAGTAAATGTTATTTTCAGCTCTTTTTGGCATTTAGTGCTGAAAATTATTGTTGGCAAGTACTGTTCAATATAACTGAGGATCAATCCAGTAATGATTATAGAATTTAGTCGTAAGGTGCAAATGACATTGACAATAGTATTTCAAAAGGATCAAAAGTCTGACTGAAATGCTTTTACCTAAAGACCACACTAAGTCTTATAAACAGTTGTGCTAATTAGAATGATTAATCTATTAAATACAAAAGCAAAATGCAAAATCTGTTGAAAATGATTTCACTAAGAAATATTTCAATGGAGCTATCAAAAAAATATAGTTCTCTTTTGACCAATGTTTTTGCTTACAGATCATCTTCTACGAGGACAGGAACTTCCAGGGCCGCTCTTATGAGTGCAGCTCTGACTGTTCTGACCTCCACTCTTTCTTCAACCGATGCAACTCCATCCGTGTAGAAAATGGAAACTGGATGCTTTATGAGCATCCCAACTTCACCGGACACCAGTATTTCCTGAGGAGGGGAGAGTATCCTGACTTTCAGCAGTGGTTGGGATTCAATGACTCCATCAGATCTTGCCGCGTTATCCCTCAAGTATGTCTCCTAGGATAATCATATAAATCTACTTACCAAATAGAGTTATCATTTTTTTCACAGGCAGTCAGTGATATTTTTTTATCTGTAGTTTCTTGAATAATTTCGCTAGTGGAGTATACATATTGTGATTTCACACACATATTGACCAATTTCACATACTTCCTTCTAAATGAAGCATGATTATTAGTTCAGACTAAAGCTGGCCAGTCATTGGAAGAATTTTGTTTGAACATTTTCGTTGATTTCAGGAATGAACGTTCGAAAGTTCATAGAAACATCCATCATAGCATAGTCATATGTTGAAATTGAATATCGTTTGTCGGCCATACGAAAGAAGTTAGCTTAAGTCTTGTTAATAACCCATACTCAAGGTAGTAACTAAAAGCACAGCAGACCATGTCTAGTTACGTTTCTTTATTATTTGAAGAATTGCCAAAATGATGGAAATTAGAGAGCATGTATTCTTTCTGCCCCATCGCCTATCTCCTCTCCATAGATGCATACTTACCAAGATCCAGCGCCCAGGGCCTCCTGTGTTTTTTTTACAACCTACGCCAAAGCCTTCTTACTGCTGGCCACACCTACACAGTAGAGCCACATCGGGTTCGTCTCCCTTGCTCTGAAAGTGCACTTGTTATTTAATAGTTTTGTTATTGGACCTCATCACAATTATTTATAGATTGCCCCTTTGGCCAATAGTTGTTTCCACCATTCAGTTAAAACCTGTTTACATTGTATAAAACAATAGTGTTGTATGCAAGTAGAGGTGGCCAGGAAGAGGAAATGGAGTGTAAAGTAAATCCAGGAAGCCCTTGTCCATCGAACGTGTTGTCATGCAACTTGCATGTAAAGAAAAATACATGGACATAACAATAACCATAGTTTTAAAAACCTATTTTAACCTAAACCCTACATATAAGTACACTGGAAAAATATCTTCAGCTAGTATTTTTGGCGTGTTGTCCTGCATTTTCCAATTCAATTAAAGGGGGTCTTTTTAGTGGAGTTTCCATTTTTTTTTTAAATGTAACTTGGGTCCTGTGTGAGCATTTGCCAAATGCTGGTCACAAATGTACAACTATCACAAACATTGTACTATCCAGGTATCAGGTTAGCAACTATTCCACATTGCGATAATACTGTTTAAATTCTGGTTACCATCACTGCAGGGGCTTCTTCATCTACATCACCTGGCCACTAAAAGATAAAGCTCCATGATTTCCTATGGGTTTTATTATTGGCATTCCCTTCTAAATGGCCCTAAGATGGTTAATAGGCTTCTCTTCTCAAAAAATAGTGACACCATCTATTTTAGTGTGACACTGGAGCCAAAAGAAGCAAATATGACCTGCTGATGATATCCGCACTGTCCAACTAAAGCCTGTTACTGGTATTTAACCCCAAAGTATGAATATTCTTCATAAAGAAAGCCATGAAAAAAATCCTGGGTTTTGACTTCAACAATAGATACAAAAATAGGGTGGGATGATCAGATACCAAGTACCGCACTTGGTACAAGTACTGATACTTTTCCATCAGACCAATTACAAGTACTTATCCAAGTTCTCACAGATACAACTATTGATACTTTTTTGTTTAGTATCATGTGACAACACAGACTAATGATTTCAGTGGTGGAGTGCCAGAGCCGGGTCCCAAATGCAACCGCTGCAACCCTGGTAGTTCTTGTGAAAATGCCAAGTATCGGCACTGGTATCTGAACATCCCTAAGCATATGATAAAATATGATAAAATATGAATGCATTGGCCTAACATACGTAAACATAAGTTGAATGAGGCAACCAGACCATAATAGCACAATATTAATTTGTGAATCAAAGAAAAATGTGACACGTTTAATTTTTGAAAATGTCCTTTAAATGTATATTATGTGGTCTCTTTATATTCTAGCAACGTGGTTCCTACAGAATAAGGATCTATGAAAGAGAAGACTTCAGAGGTGAGAACATGGAGTTTTTAGATGACTGCGCCTCTGTCCATGAGCGTTTCAATTACCATGACATCTACTCTTGCAACGTCTTGGATGGCCACTGGATCTTCTATGAGCTGCCCAACTACAGAGGTCGCCAGTACTACCTGAGACCAGGAGAGTACAGGAGATACACTGACTGGGGTTCTGTCAATGCCAGAGTTGGCTCCTTCAGACGTGTTAGAGAAAACTATTAGACTGAGTTTGAGCAAATTACAGTGCACCTGCTTTAAATAAATAAAATGCAATTTACAACTGTTCAGTGATTTTTTTTTTCTTGAGCATTAAATTGTCAGAGTTCAGATGTTTCATTGCTATATTGGGAAACAAGAGGAACAAGCTTGTGCTAGTGTTTATGTATACAGATGACTTTCATCACAAAACATGAAAGAAACAATGATTATAGACATGAATAAACTACATTGAATAACCTAAAAACTGTCGACTGAAACAAAGAAAATGTCAGTAGTGCTCTAGCTAGGGAAAACTATGCACAATCATAATACATAGAAAACATCCATATATGTTTTAGTGCCAATACAACTTCAATACATTCAACAGTTATAAAAAATTACCTTGGCAGAACTATGTAAGTTTGTTGTTGAAGGCTTGCTTCCATATATTTCAAAGACATTCTCCACTGGCAAGCTATGCTATTGAATATTGAACATAATATATAGTTATTTTATCTGGTGGGTTTGTGACAATAGCATGTTTAAAGTGGATTCAGCATCTGATATTTTTCCAAGTTAAGTGCATACATACAAAGTGGTGTAACACTTATGGCTATTCATTGCCGCTCAAGGAGCTCAAAATACTCCCCTTGCCTAGGTCTCCTTTTTTCCTTGAAAGCTAATCCCTCTTTGTTCAAGCATCATCCCTCATCAGCATCTAATTCCTAGACTAAGATGCTGGCCCAGGGATGACACAATAATGGAAATACAGATCTGAGCAACAGCTTTTATGTTTTTGACTGTGTATACATGGTGTCTCAAACAGAAAGGCCCTTTGGCCAGAAGTTTAAAACGTAAAGTCTGAGTATATGCAACTTTCTCTGACGTCGTACTGGCAAGAAAGTTTGATTGACTGGTCACTTGGGGTGAGACTAAGAGAATCTTCTTCCTGCTTGCAGCAGACCAATTATATAATTCTGCCATGAAACTCCTTCTCAGGTCTAGGCACAGTCACTTTATTCAACAACTCTCTTTTCAAGGCTATAAGAGAACTAAAGTCAAACCTTTTTTGGGTCAAAGGAGTACATTTACTAATGTACTTCCTGTGACCCAAAGTCAGTATCTAGCGGGCTACTGCTATTTGCTGACAGCACAGAGCCAATATTGTCAGGATCCACCCCACTGTTTGATTGACAGCTGGCGCTGTCTTTCTAGAGCCAGAGCCAGCTTGCCCACCCCCTCCCTTGTCTGTCCCTACAATAAGCACTGGTGAAACAGAAAGGGGAGTGGGATATCTATGTGGCGGGTGGTCGCTCTCTGCAGGGAGAAGACCGTGAGCTGTGCAATCAGCGGTTTTTGATCAATCAGCTCTTAATCTGTAAATCTGGCATGTGATAACGGCAGTGTCACACGCCGGCTTTAAGTATTGGGAAGAGTACATTTTGCTCTCCCATTACTTCTCCTTTAATGGTACATTTAAATATACCATTGCTATATATGTTGATAGGTCAGGAATTTGTTAATGACTTGTAAAATTATTGGAAGGTGTTGTAATCATATCTGAAAAACACACACTCAACACAATCACAATGGAACTGAAAGGGAAACTTTTGCAGTGGTAGCTTGTCATCATTGCTGTATTTCACAAAGCAAAGCTAGATGAATAGTGCACATGTTATATCCCCATTGTCCCAACTCTCTGGTGGGGAGTCTGTCAAATGTTTTCAATAGACTCATTCTTTTAGACTGATCAGTGGTGGTTTCTTTTGGCTTTATTAAAACAAAACAAAACAATCTTCTAGTTGCACACATGTATATTGTAATGGGGTTCCTTTACTGAGGAAGTAAGTGGTGAAGATTTAACAACACAAGTAGGTGACACATTAATGTATTAAAGTGTATTTACTCTAACAATGAACTTCTCTTATTTGCTCTTTTTTGGTCTACCAAATATATAATTAACAGTTTTCTGTCATATCTGTTCAATAACTACACAAAATATGTTAATTTTGCCAGTTAAGTTGATAACATCTTGCTCCCCTCCTGCTTATCATCCTGCATGGGCACAAGGAGGGGTTATGATGATAAGAAGGAGGGGAGGAGATGAGAAGAGGTCTGTGTTCTTTGAAATGCATCAGAAATTAAGTAGGCAGGGCTGACAACATGTGCTTTGGAATTTAAAGCCAACAATACACTGTATTGTCATGTCAAAGAGGAAGGTAAGAGCTCACTATATTTCTGGCACATCAACAGTTATTTTTCTGTACATGCAGTGTGTTTAAAGAGATAAAATGTGTAGAAATGTCCATATATTGCAGAGATGTGGTTTTTCATTTTGCCTTGACATACATTGAATACAAAATTGACTTTTTTCCCTTACCATTAGCGTTCCTGCAAAAGAAGATAGAATCATAGCTTCTCTCTCCATCCGATTGGGGTATTTATGTTGGTTTAATGCTAGCTTGCTATGCAAAAAAAAATACTTTAGTTTATTATTCCAATGCTGGAATAATGCTGCAGTAACATTGAAAAGTGCATATGTAGACATTCTGTACTTTAATGCATGAACACTACTTAATTAGTAAAAGTGTTATTCAATACAAATTCACTAGATAAGCAAACTGCAAACCTGCACATAACCCAATCAGTGAAACGATATCAACAACCCAATTTTAAACTTTCTTGTACCCATGCTCTGTTCTGATCCTATTCCTAAAACCCTTCCCCAAACCCACTTTTACCTGATATGCTTAAAAAATGTTCTAAAAAATTCACCAACATAATCAGGTCATAATTTCTGTTGTTTTATCTTTTTTTTTTTCTAACTAATTTCAAAATGCTGGTCCTTGTATAACAGAAGAGGCTAAAGGGGACTATACCAAGACAATTATGGGAGTGGCCATTGCACTGAAGCTTTCAACAATTTCCTTTTTAATTTCTAGGGCTTGTGCAGCCCGCATGCTCTGGGCACCTCACAGATATTTGGCAGGCTAGCTCAGCATGCATTATGCATTTTAAAAGGCATGTATAAAAAAAATATAAAAACTTGCAGTGTGATAAAGCTGTCATAAGCTGCCCATGTATAAATCTAATTTTGTCAATTTCCTGCTATATCTGCCAAAATCTGATCTGTGGGGGGCCCAGCCAGCACCACATAAGTCGCTGCAGTGACTGTTTGGGTATTCTGACAGCCGCAGGCAATGACTGTGAGAATATAACGGCCTGTAGGTGGAAATTTTTTCAGCCATGCTGTTTAGCATAGAAAATATTGTTGTGTATGGCCGTCTTGATGACAAGTGAGGGGTGCTAATCTAGCCTGCCTGAGGTCTTTGCACTACTTGATAACTGCAGAACACAAAAACACTGCCCTGCCTAATGTCTATGCAGTCAGGGGAGGATTTATACTTTTTGTCCCTAGACCAGCCGCTCCCTCCTTTTCAGGCACAATTTTGGATAAAAATGAAGAAATAATAAAGAAATAATAACAAACTAAGTGGATTAAATATAACTTAATTGACTTAAAAATATAATAAACCAAATAAGCCGATAATGTAACGAAATGTACAGCGCTAAATGCCCTTCAGGAAGTTTAATAACGATAAGGATCAGAGTGATGTCACCTCCGTGTCAAACAATCATGCAAAGGTGTGTGTATATAATAAATAATTGTGTAACAAGTTATAAATTGTGTCAACAGTTGTCATAAAAACGTGTCATAAATTATCTTATTATATAAATAAATAGAAATCTACACAAACCATGTGTCATATATGTGGAGAATAAAAATTCTCATTTATAAACCAGTCCGTGTTGTTTTCTTCCGAAAGATATTAAAAATGCGAACTTATACCAATTTTTTAGAAATGTACTTAAAGTTTTATTACTTTCTTAGAGTTCTCGGATCTTCAACACAAGAAGCCCCAAAAAATGATGAAAATAAAAATAAAAATAGAAACACTCATAAAAAATATTAAAAAACAAAAGAAATGTTCAGTGTTGTGAAGTCTCCAATGAAAAACACCAAAAGAAGGAAAAAACAGGCAGATCCCCTATAGGGGATACACTCACCAGATCCCTGATGATCGAAAGCTTTCGACATCACTCTGATCCTTATCGTTATTGAACTTCCTGAAGGGCATTTAGCGCTGTACATTTCGTTACATTATAATTCTGGAGGCTTTTAGCCTGAGTTCAGCAGCTTTTCTCCCTACCCTGTGTTCTTAGGAATTTTTTATGGAATTTTAACCCTATGGTCATATTAATATTAATTTTAAATTGTAACCCTATCCACTTTTATTAATTTCATTAGCGCAAGTTATTTTAGATTACAAATAAGCCGATAAGCCACTTCTTATAAATTGCTACTTAATAAATAAACAATAAGTTAAAATTTACAAAAAGATTCAAAGAATAATTTTACAATAACTTAAAAAATAAACCTATTCATCAAGATGTACAAAATTATACTGTTAAGGAGATGGTGATGGGATAAGTCAACATAGAACAGAAATATTTCAGGGGCTTAAAGTCTCTGACTTTTTAGGAGTATACAATGGATATAAAGATGGTGGTAACCATATGAATTCCTATATTGGATCAGTTCATATCAACTCATTTATACATATTAAATTGATAATGAAATTCACTATAAACCAGAACCGATAATGATATTATTAATAATAATAATAATTAGGGATGCACCAATACTGGTTTTTCAGTATGGAGTACTGATTTTTTTTCTTCGGATTGCCTGTCTATCGAAAGAACACCGACTTCACTTCAGCCTGGCTTCCTGACCAGGAAGCTGGGCGGTGGGTCATGACATGCCGCCAAGCTTCCTGATTGGTCAGGAAGCTAGGCTGCCTAAAAAATGAAGTCAGCTTCCTAGGTAATCAGGGAGCCGGGAGGCGGGTCATGACGTGCCTCCCGACTTACTGATTGGTCAAGAAGCCAGGCTGTCTAGCAATAAATGAAGCCAGCTTCCTAGCTAATCAGGAAGTCGGGAGTCGCGTCATAACCCGACACCCAGTTTCTTGATTGGCCGGGAAGCCGGCTCCATGCTCCTTCTCCCTCCAACCAGAAGTTCCAGCATCGGGGGTAAGTGTTCGAGCATTTGGGCGATTACCAGTACTCACCTAAATACTCAGTATCGGCACCGATACTAGTACCGGTGCATCCCTAATAATAATAATAGTAATAATAATAAAATAAAAAAACATCATGGAAACAAACCCTATTAAAAATAGATGTTTTGAGTAACAATAGAATGTTGGATCTGTTGGAAATGCAACAGCACATACTGATATGTCTTTTGAGCTTTAGATGGTGCTGTAGTGAAATGTTAGTCTCTATGCGCATGCTTATCTATGAAACACAGGAAGTTCTTTCTGTTTGCTGTATACACACATGTAATGTTCCTCTAAGCAAGTAAAACTTAATTCAGCATTCCTCAAGAGCTCGGTACTTCATCTAAACACAAAACCAACAGGGTGGGTCTCCTTCCCCCCTCTTTATGTGATTCACCATCTCTATCGACAATACCATCGGAGGCTTTAATCTACCCATGCCCTTTTCTTAGTGTGATCTATTTACTTGTTTCCTCCATTCTCTATTTAGCTTAAAGTGACACTAAACTCAGGAGTTAAATCTTAAAAATGCAATATAGTACCTTAAAGTGACATTAAACCCTCAGATTTTTTAACATAAAACAATACTGTAATGTGTGCCTTACTGTAATCCATGGTTGTTTCCCTTCTCTTTGCTGCTCTTCCTTTTAAATCTGTATCTCTTCTCATGCTGGGCAGAACTTCTATTTTGCAGCAGACTGCCTTGTCTCTGGAATGGATACATGGTGTCTGTGTGTTGGTTTGAAACCTGAGCCAGCACTACAGGAAGAGGCAACCAGCTGCAAAGGGAAGTTCTCCCCAAGCATGAGAAGAAATGAGGATTCAAAAGGAAGAGCAGCAAAGAGAAGGGAAACTACCATGGATTACAGTAAGGCACACATTACAGTATTGTTTTATGTTTAAAAATCTGAGGGTTTAATGTCACTTTAACTTTTAACAAAAATGTATCCTATTTGTGTATCACTCGGCTGTAGATCCTCAAATTATCTTGAATTTCGTACTGACACCGTCCTTCCTTCTGGAGGGTGGCTACTTTTGTTCCCCATGGTCTCTGCATGCATTGTAAAGTAGCCACTGCTCCAAGCTCACTCTCATGATGGACTACAATCTCATGTTTAGTTTGCTAATTTGTATTGAGATTGTAATCCACACACAGGGACCATAGGGAACCCAAGTAGCCACCCTCCAGAAGGAAAGAAAGTGTCAGCACCAATTCAGAGATGATCTGAGGATTTACAGCCGAGTGATACACAAATTACTTACTTTTTCTAATAGTTATGGTACTTGAATGCATTTTTTTAAATTTTACTCCTGAGTGTCTTTTTTACACTGTCTTCTAGTCACATGATTTTATCCCTTGTTCAGTTTTCAACCACCAGTCACTCAGTCTTTACCCCTCCCAATACCCTAGGTTTCCTGGTGCTTCTTCCACTCGTCTGATTTTACTTTTTGTCACTCAGTACTAACCACTTTCAAGCCCCCTGTTTGCTTTCCCTGTCCTCCTCTTTCACTATTCTGCCATCCTTTTAGCCATTTAAACTTGTCGCACTCAGGACTAGTAGCATTTTTGTGGACCCACTGATCCTGGATATGCTTACCTTTTACAACTGTGAGTTACACTCTGTTCACTAATAGGTCTATCTGCATATTTTATGGTTTATTACTCCTGCAGTGATATATTTATACTCTGTCTTTCACTTAGATTAATCTAGTTAATTGTGCTATCCTTGAGTCCTCCTAATTACCTAGTACGTCTGAGGTACACTTTCATAATAACCTTACCACTGTCATTCATCCTGAACAGCTTCCTTTATTGTATTTGTTCATATTATACATACACTCACTGGCCACTTTATTAGGTACACCTTGCTTGTACTGGGTTGGACCCCCTTTTGTCTTCAGAACTGCCTTAATTCTTTGTGACATAGATTCAACAAGGTGCTGAAAACATTGCTTAAAGAGTTGGGCCGTATTGAAATGATAGCATCTTGCAGCTGCTGCAGATCTGTCGGCTGCACATACATGAATGGAGTCTCCCATTCTACCACATCACAACGGTGCTCTATTAGACTGAGATCTGTAGACTGTGGAGGCCATTTGAGTACAGTGAACTCATTATCAAGCCAGTTTGAGATGAATTTAGCTTTCTGACATGGTGTGTTATCCTGCTGGAAGTAGCAATCAGAACATGGGTACACTGTGGTCATAAAGAGATGGACATGATCAGTAACAATACTCAGGTAGGCTGTGGCATTTAAATGATACTCATTTGGCACTAAGGGGCCTATAGTGTGCCAGACAAATATCCCCCACACCATTACAACACCACCACCAGCCTGAACTGTTGATACAAGGCAGGATGGATCCATGTTTTTCTGTTGTTTATGCCAAATTCTGACCCGACCATCCAAATGTTGCAGCTGAAATCGAGACTCATCAGACTAGGCAACGTTTTTCCAGTCTTATATTGTCCATTTTTGGCAAGCCCTTGCAATTTGTAGCCTCAGTTTCCTGTTCTTTGCTGACAGGAGTGGCATAGAGTGAGGTCTTCTGCTGCTATAGCCCATCTACTTTAAGGTTCGACGTGGTGCAACATTGGTTTGTTGTTATCTAGCAGTGCTCAGTGCAAACATCAATTTAACATGATTAGAAACTTGTGAAAGTGATGTTTTATTACTTGTCATTGTATATTGTTTTTGGTGTCCAGCATTTCATAGCTTCACATTGTAGGTTAGAGTTGAGTGTGCTGTGGAATTGCTTCGTTGCCTACTAGGCTCCTATGTACGTATCAGGAAATTTAAATAGTGATCAATTCTATGGTTTCAATTTATTTGAAATTAGTTTTTGATTTCTATTCATCCCAAAAGCATTTTATGCCATTTCATTGTTTCCATTTTGTTTTTATAAGTATCTGTATATGTGTATCCAAGTATGAAGCCTTTGTAAATTCAATGACCAATAATCTCTTGCGGTCTCATTCTCTACACGTTTCGCAGGCAGGGCTTCCTCAGGAGAGAGATAAGATGCTCTTATCTGCTTCCATAGCCAGAGGATGAAGGGAAATTATAGCACTTTAAAAAAGTAAAACAATACAATCATAGTAGAAGCTGGCTGAGAGGCATCATCCAGAAATTTGTAAATTTGGCATAACCGTACGTTTAACACATGGCATGCTACCTATGAACATGGAGCATAAGAGTTAAGATGTGTTAAATGTGATACTGTTGGCCATGGTTGGAGTTATGATTTTATCTGATTTTTGTATATTTGTAATATAAGATTTTAATGTTAATAATAAAGCTGGTATATGTTATCCTTTTTACAAAATGTCTTGTAGTCCTGTGTGGTGTATGATACTTTTAAAGCCCCAATGTTTTGATATGTTTAATTGCACTTTATATTACATTTCATTGTTTTATGTTGAACTGCAATAGGCACAATAGTCAAAGTACCAAAAAAAAACAAAATACTTACATTCTTTCTTTTCTAAATGCGTCATTGCAACTGGAAGAACTAAGCCACTGCAAAGCAACACCAATAGCCAGATCATAATGTGCCTAAAAACAAACATGATAAAAAAGAGAATAGATAATAAACAATATAAAGAAGAGAATAGATCATAAACAATATAAAGAAGAGAATAGATCAAAACAATATAAAGAAGAGAATAGATAATAAACAAGATAATGAAGAGAATAGATCATAAACAAGATAAAGAAGAGAATAGATCATAAACAAGATAAAGAAGAGAATAGATAATAAACAAGATAATGAAGAGAAAAGATAATAAACAATATTAAGAAGAGAATAGATCATAAACAAGATAATGAAGAGAATAGATCATAAACAAGATAATGAAGAGAATAGCTCATAAACAAGATAATGAAGAGAAAAGATAATAAACAAGATAAAGAAGAGAATAGATCATAAACAATATAAAGAAGAGAATAGATCATAAACAATATAAAGAAGAGAATAGATCATAAACAATATAAAGAAGAGACTAGATCATAAACAATATAAAAAAGAGAATAGATAATAAACAAGATAATGAAGAGAATAGATAATAAACAAGATAAAGAAGAGAATAGATCATAAACAATATAAAGAAGAGAATAGATCATAAACAATATAAATAATAGAATAGATAAGAAACAAGATAATGAAGAGAAAAGATAATAAACAAGATAAAGAAGAGAATAGATCATAAACAATATAAAGAAGAGAATAAATAATAAACAAGATAATGAAGAGAATAGATCATAAACAATATAAAGAAGAGAAAAGATAATAAACAAGATAATGAAGAGAATAGATAATAAACAATATAAAGAAGAGAATAGATCATAAACAATATAAAGAAGAGAATAGATCATAAACAACATAACAAAGAGATTAGATACTAAACAAGATAAAGAAGGGGAAGAGAAAGTTAAAAGTAGGCCCATGTGTTCAGGATCAATAAAGTCCCTCTTTTTATCTGGGTTCCTCTATAGGCTGCCATAAATTAAGGCCTCCCTTACATTTGTGAATGGGGCTGGATGCTGAGTCTCATGCAATCTGCGTCCAGGTGTGGTCGTCCACAGGAAATTGCAGCATGTGTGATTATATGTGAACAGCTGATGATTGCTCCTGTCATTGTATTGTACAGCACATCCTACCTGCAGGAATTCGTGAGACTCAGCAATCTGGCCCCATTTGTTTAATAGATTTTTTTCATTCAGCGTGGATGGACTAATCTCCCACTGCAGCAATTGTATTCTGGCAGAATACGCAAACAGTGACTGCAGCTGATTGGCTAAAGTCATTGTTTGATTGGAAATTTCAGGTCCAGCTTCTTTAAAAAAAAAATTATTTTTGTCGAGCCGACAGGGCCATCCACTGTAGTAATTTCAATATATTCATGTGAATCAGAGGAAGTTCTAATAGTGTATGGCGAGCCTAAGGCAGATATGTCTAATGTAAATTATAAACATTAAGATGAACTGAGTTGAATTAATCTTCAAGAATTTCGTATTCCTTTTTTTGAGGACAACACCCAGTTAATACCCAATAAAAAGCATAGGGCACTTCTCTGCAATCTATGCCTGCCACTAATGACACTGGAAGAATCATCATGACATACAACCTAATTAAACTGGGTACTGGATCTAACTGTATGTGTTTACCATGTATATTTAATTACCAGGTTATCCAGGGATGAGGATTCCTTCCTTCCTTTTGGGTCAAACTCCTTCTCTCGAAGAGTAGTGCTAACATAATCACCCCTTTAAAAAACAAAGAGTATTGTTATGTATTTATACTGATGGGTAAATTCTCATTTGAATTCTGACTATGAGGCTGTAGGCTCATAGCTCCTGAGCTATGGCACTAAAACACTCCTGAGCCTACTGCCTCATAGCTGTATATCTGCAATATTAGATCTAAGGCTCTGTTGCCTTTGACTGCAAGTCTAAGGGGATTTGGTGATGCCACTATGCAGCTCAGTGTTCTCCTGAGACTCTAATATGAAGAAGCAAAGCCCTGCCTCTATCAAGATGGCTGCCTCCACACAGAGACACAGTGCATAATAAGGCAAAGTAAGTCAGCAATGGGGGAAAGGTGCAGGGAAACCACAGGCAATAATGGTGACTAGATCTTTGCCTTCTGCCGTCCTCTTTTGGACACAGCTTCCAAAGTTCAGTTCATCTTTAAAACAAACCTGTTCTTTGCTCTGAAACAGATTTGCTTTAATGCCCTTCTCACTATATGCACTTACTAACATTCCTTTGTTTCTGTTCAGGTGTCAGGAATGAGGAAAATATCTGCTGCTTCTTGATATGAAGGACCATATGGTGCATAGTGTATGGCCCAGCACTGTCACATGGGGGAAAGGAAAAGAGTCTACAGCCCTTTTTTGAGATAAGCCTACATAGAGCTAAGTGAGTGATTGTTTTGGAAATGTATTTGCTAATAAGAGAAGGTTGTGGGAACTCCCTTAGACTTCAGATATGTCTGAATAGTTCAGGCATTTGTAAAGATTTTCCCTACTGCTATGCACCCCTTGTGCTGGGCCGAGAGGTAGACAGAAGAGTTGGCCACCTTGGGTGCTTCAGCAGGAAGGGTTGCAAATAGGACAAGACCTAAAACTTAAGTAGTGTAAACATGGTTCGATTTTTGCACGCACGTTCGTATGAGAAATCCTATTGGAACTTTCGATGCTGGCATCAGAAACTTGCCGATTGTCATTCGAAATTTCATTTAACCCCTTCGTGACTGACGACGTACACCCCCGCCGTGCTTCCCGGGCTCCGTTGCCCCTCCTACGGGCCCGGGACCGGCGTCCTTGGTGTCCGCGGGGAGCTGGGGAGGAGGTCGACGAACTTCCGTTCATCGATCCCCTCCCCGTTCTATGGGACCGGGAGCGATGCAGATTGCATCACTTCCGGTCCCTGGGCTGTCAGTTCTGGGCTCCTGCAGCCCAGGTCTAAGCTATTGAAGTGCGATCTTGTTTGTATCTAACATTCGATTTTGGAATGAATCGAGTTTGTGCACAAAAACCACATTCACTGTTAGAAATTCGTTCAATTGAGAAAAATGTAAAAAAAAAAATGTTGAATGTTTTTGTCATTGTGGTCAAAATCAATAGCTGATTTGACCCCATTAACGCTTAGAAAGTCGAACGAACGTTCCAAATTTGATTTCATTTGTTTGACAGTCTAACCGTGTATACCCTACTTTAGGCTGCTGAAGTGGCTCATAGCTCATGGGGGAGAGCACTTTTTGTCCTTTTTGCCTTGGGCACTAAAGGACCTTGTCCCAGCATTGTTCACCTGCATACATATAAACAATTAAAGTATACCTGGAATGTATGGAAGAAGAATGTGGAAATGATGTATGCTTCTGATTACACACTCATAAACCATTTATCCTGGAATTAGCTCTGCTGAACTTTTTCATTAACAGGAAAAGGTTCTAACTTCTTGCAGTTCACAATTGTGAATTTATTTTTTTATATATGGTTAGTTGTAAGATAAGCACCAAATATTATTTATTTTGCCAATCTCTTTTGGTAGGGTGTTCCACAGTTAAAGCACACTGTTAAAATTTCCACCAATACATGGGAATCAAGTGAATTTCTAACAGTGAGGGACCCTGCCAGCATGATAAGCATCAATTACCCAAAACACTTTTTATCAAAAGAGCCAGGCAGAACATTTTTGGGTAAACAGTGACTGCAGCTGGGTGCTGGCTGTCAAAATAAAACAGGCAACAGGGGAGATTCCTCCATCAGCGCTGTTTAGTGTGGATGGGAAAATCCAGTGTTTTTTCTGAGTGTAAGGCCTGCTTTACTGTAAAGAACCCCACCTTCTGCTGACTTTAAAGTGATATTAAAATTGACATGTTTTTAATACTATTTCAAATGCTGATTAAATCACTTACAATGGATGCTGCTCCGTGATGTTTAAAAGTTTTAGCTTCCTGCAGAATCAGCTGGCTCCCTTAGCACTGGCCCTGATATCTTTTTTTTAGGGTGGCTCCTTTCCCTTGCAGGCTCCTATGAAGCCACCTTTGTGTGTGCTAGTAAGCTGTTTGTGTCTCCACAAACACACAGCCAAAGCAAGGCAAGACACTTCTCTGCCCCCCTTAACCTTACTTCCTCCTCACTTCTCCAAGCTAGTAGATGGGCAGCTGCTGGGACTGCTCTGTCCTTTATGATCATGTACTGGACAGGAATTTCAGGGTAACAGAAATGAGAGAGTTGGAACTTTTGGGAAACATGATGATTGCAAGTGCAGGGGCAAAAATGTAAAGAAATACTTTGCAGGCAATGAACATTTGTTTGATCTGGATTCATTATAAAAAAAAAATGTTTGAGAGTTTAATACTACTTTAAAACCCATGTTCCCTACACGACGGATGTCCTCTTCTTTTGTTTACAGTCCTTTGAATAAAAAGTTATACATTAATTACATGAACTAAGACAACCATTTTTTTAAGAATTCTTTGTAATTGGAACTCTCATCACTTTAATGGTTTAGTTGCCCGATTTATTTTCACAGCAGGGCTAGAATTATACACTGCATCTTTAACAAAAAAAAAAGAGTTTAAATCTACTTATACCCCAGTGTATCTGTAAAAAATAAAGTCAAGGCAAATGGACTGGCTGTATTTTTCTTGAAGACGTTTCATTTGTCATCCAACCAGTTTTCTCAATTCAGAATGACTTGTACAAAGATTATCTGGGAATACATATGGTGAATGTTGCTCCAATCCATGTAATCTGTTAATCAAAACCAGGTGTGGTTTGCATTTGCATAATTTGAGCTAGGATGTGTTAATAACCTGCCCAGAGAGAGAGGTGTATGTGGCTCAAATTATGCAAATGCAATCAACACCTGGTTGCGATTATCCATTATGTGGATTGGAGCAACATTCACCATATTTATTTCCAGAGAATTTCTGTACAAGTCATTCTGAATTGAGAAAGCTGATTGGATGACCAGTGAAACGTCTTCAAGAAAAATACAGCAAGTCCAGTTGCCTTGACTTCTTTTTTACAGATATACCATGACCTAGATAAATGAGAACCTTCACAGACTTATACCTCAGTAGTTAGAAGGAGACATGAAGTCCTCCTCCTTGTCCACTAGAACCAGGGCCGGTGCTAGACTATTTGTCGCCCTTGGCAATACCAGCTACTTGCACCCCCCAGCCCCCCTCCCGCAGCGCAGCCCCCAATTCCCCCCCTCCGCCGCACGTGCGGTCAAATTCTCCTGACGGATAGCTTCCACTGGCGATAGATGGATGTAAGCAGCCGGGAAAATACCCAGATTGCTATTGGCTATTTTAATTTGAAATTGCCAATAGCAGACTGGCTATTGAAACACCTGCAAGTGAGCAGAGGAGCGGACCTGAGAGAGAAAGTTGTCTCTCAGTTCTGCTCCTCTGCTCAGTGGGCAGGTGCAATAGCCGGCCTGCTATTGGCCTTTGCAATTTGAAATAGGGGGGGGGGGGGGGGTCTCGGGGGGGGTGTGGGGG